GCGTTCAATCGAGCCCCGGGTCCGCGGAACTCGGCGAAGATTGCGGTGGATCGGGCTTTTCGGCGATGTATGTCGAACGAGGAATAACGGGCGTCGTCGAGGAACTCCTTAATCTTTCATCAATTCCCTTAATTAACCGGCAACAATGGTCGCTCTACTTCGATCCGCGGTTAGTCGGGCTCGTTGCTGGGACTCTCCCTCTCTTTCTCTCTCTCTCTCCACCCCTCTGTCTCTCTTTTTCTCTCTCGCTCTCTCTCCGTCATGGACGTATTGCTGCCGTTGAAAACGGACGTCGTTGGCAGAGCCTGGTCCCTGAAAGAACCCTCCGGGAGATGTTTCGAGGCCAGATGCTGCCAACGACTGTCCTCTTTTGTGCGACGCCTGGACGACGCCAGGATCTGTCGAAGATGGTCGCGAGTACTCGCGATTTTACCTCGCGGAACAGTTTCACCTTGCTCCGACATCGATCTCGGTGAAATTAACTCCTCAGCTGTGAACGACGAGTGTACTCGTCATTAAAAAATGGCAATTTATATTTGGCAACAAATATGTTCCTTCTATGATTCAAGTTGAAATTGTTGTGAAACATAGGGCAGAGGAGCCAGTTACTGTGGGCTGACCAATTGATGTGTCTTTAATTCGTCCTCGACGTATTAAATTTTCGTCTTCTTTTCCTTTGTTTATTTTTTTATAGAAGATTTTAGCTTGTCTTATTCGATAAATATAAAGTTAGTTATGACCGAGAACAAGCAATGGGCACAGCAATTGCAGTTACCCCACGGTAATCGGCTCCGCTACCTCTTATTCAGAATAAAGAAACAATTGGAGACTTTGGAATAATTCTGGAAGAGCTTGCCGAAAGGAATTGCATCCAGCGTGATCGATAAAACGCAGACGAAATTGATCTTGAAAACCGATCAGATAAGTTGTTGAAGAGATAATGGATAACAAGAAAATATAATTTCTAAAGAAATGGAAGTAGAATAATCTTTATCATGAATATTCTGTGGATTCTTGAAAAGGTACACAGCAAAGAAATTTAATTTTTCAATAATTAAGAATACTTCCTGATAAATTAAGAACAATTTTAATAGCAACAATTTGTGATTTCTTAATAAATATGTTTTTAAGAGCCATAACATGAAAACGTGATTTTTAAATAATTTCAACTAGAATCGTCATCATAAATATTTTATGGATTATTTACAAAGTTCACAGTAAATATATTGCATTTTTAAATAATTAGGAATACGTTCAAATAAATTTGGAACAATCTATAAATGGTTCTATAAGGATCATAACAGGAAAATGTAATATCTAAATAATATTAACTAAAATCATTATCATAAATATTCTGTGGATTACTTACAAAGTTCACAGCAAATAAATTGCATTTTTAAATAATTACGAATACGTTCTAATATATTAAGAACAATCTATAAATGGTTCTATAAGGATCACAACAGGAAAATGTAAAATACCTAGATAATATTAACTAAAATCATTATCATGAATATTCCGTGAATTACTTAGAAAGTTCAGAGCAAAGAGATTGCATTGTTAAATAATTAGGAATACGCTCAAATAAATTGGGAAGAGTCTATAAATATTTTTAAAGGAACCATAACTGGAAAAGGTAATTTCTCAATAATTGGAGGCAGAATCTTAATTCCACAGAACATTCATGATAATTGCGCAATGTACAGAGTAAGGAAATTTAATGATTAACACGTTCCGTGCCACGTGTACCATCGATGGTACACGCTTGCATGTTTACTTAGTGAACTGAACAAATTGTTTACAAGAAATTTAGAACCGAAGAATCAATTTCCACCGCAAGAATGGGCGTTGATAAGTTTTTGTTACGTTGTTATGTGTACGAGAATTAATAATTGCACTAATACATCAAGTTTTAGTAAAATATCAAAGTGTGAAGATTCGAGTAAAAAAAGCTCGGCACGGAACGTGTTAAATAATTGCAAACAGGATCGCATCGAGTCCATCGAGTTAATACGTTGTGTGTGCTTGTGCGGACGTGGCAAATGACGCGAAACTTGACCTAATGAAATTCCGCAAAACGTAATTAAAAATCGTAATTCGAATGTACCATTTCCCGTAATTTGCAAATGGCCCGACCGGCGTCTAGCGTTCCATTTAGAATATATCGATCGGTAGTTGTTTCCGCGCTCCTTGTCGCGCTTTGTTCTCTTTTTTAATATCGACGCTGTCCTGCATTGTACTTTTCTGGCACGACATAGTTCTCGATCGAAAAATCCCTTCTTACACGTGACCAATTTCAGTGACACTGGAACGGTACTTCCGTCTCTCTTTCTCTCTCTCTCTCTCTCTCTCTCTCTCTTTCTCTCCCTCTTGGCCGGCAAAAGTAATCAAAAATAGAAAACAAACTGTGCCAAGCGAAAGATTAAACTTTCTGATCGACAATCCCGATCCACATCCTAAAACAATATCACTCGAACGTAGCAGTAACTTCCGTCGATAAAAGAGCGCCGAAGTCTGCCTCGAACTTCAATTGTTCCATCTATGGAATTTCTGCAATCTCTACGAAATTTTCATTCGTCGTGAACGAGTAAAAAGTTTGCAAATTTACGCACAATTTCGTACAACTCGACACGTTACGTTTCGATTTAGACTGTAGTATATACTCTTCTGGACTTATAGTTTTTTAATTTTGCCATAGTAATCTTCGATTAGATTCAGAAATTTAATTTCATTGCGAGTCGATTCATTCGTAATTGAGATCAGATACATTTTTATTACGATTCGATACATTTTATTGCGATTTAATTCATTTTCATTACCGTTCAATTCATTTTTATTGCAATTCTTTTTATTTTTACTGCAATACGTTTCATGTTTATTTGGATCAGCAGACTGCGAATCTTTATGCAAAATAAAAATTGTTCAAGACTATCGTAAGAAACGATAAATAAAAATAAATTCCAACCTGCAATAATTTTGTTGAAAATGGACTAACTGAAAATGCAGTAACAACATCATTGAATTCATACGTCCTCACAATTCTATATTTGATTAGGTCACTAACTATGGTATGAGTGCAAAGATTTTAAAGTGAAATCGTAGAGTAATGTATGCATTTCATACTTAATGAACTGATAGCCGCTCGTTCTCGCCATAAATGCACAAAATCCGCACAGTCCAGTGATCAGATTTATTTCGAATTCAATAGTACTCCATTGAAACGTTCAGAACGCACAAGATCAAGGCATCATCGTCCAGCCCGATTAATTTTAATCTCTTATTTCGAGTTCCGGCAACTGCCACGATTTCCAGGGAATTTTTCAACTTGATGCTCGGACATAATCCACTTAGAAACCCCAAACTCTTTCTGCAATTTCCACAAAGCAGAATCCCGCTGAGCCCTCCTCGCCGCGAATTCCGCCTTAAAATTGCAAATTAACATCCGCAGTTGCGAATAATGCAAAGCACACAGGTCCAAAGTAAACAGCAACCGCATTCCGGAGTGGCAATTTGCGAAATACGAGCACTAACGAGCACAGCTTACGCGATAACATCATAATTCCGGCTCCGAGTGCCGAACTTCGTCAAAGCTCTCTCTCTCCGAGGAGATTAATTGACTTCCTTGGACGGGGAAAGAAAGATCCCGGAAAACTGTTTATAAATCACCGGGACGAAGCCGGGACTCGATCCCGTCCAAGATCCAGGCTTTTCCGCCGATAAAAAGGAAAACCGGGGAAAAACGAACGCAAATTCGAGCGTAATCGAGCCACGCCGAAGTCAGCTCTCTCTCTCCTCTCTCTCCCTTTCTCTCTCTCTCCTCTCTCTCCCTTTCTCTCTCTCTCTCTCTCTCTCTCTTTCTATCTATCTACAAGATTAATTCGTCGGACTCAATTAACCCCCGCGTCGATAGAAAGCAAACAAAAAGCAAATCGAAGAAGGGGCGAGGAGGGAACACGGGCCGTCTTCCGCGGAGGAAACTTTTATCCGCCGACGCTTCCTGATCTTCCCGATCGAGCCGAGGAGAAGCTCCTTTCGCAATTAATTACCCGGAGACGGGAATCCGGCCGACGATCGGGTGATGAAATTTTTATCCCCGGTCGGAATCGACCGAGCTTTCAATCGGCTCTATCCCCGCGCCGATACAAACTTCCGAAACTCCTTGATCGCGCGTTTACCACCAGATTGCAATACTTTATTTCGGAAAAACTACTATCGCAGCGATCGATTTGATCTTCGTTTCGTTAGAAAGAGGATACCTCGCCGATGATCACGGAAAATTTCTTTGTTGAGAGACTCCGCGAATATTCGCACTGGAAATATCGTCGATCTTCGGAATACTGCAGCTTCGTGGGAAAAGATCGTACGATCGTGCAATTAGGCTCATTTTTAAGCGCGAAGCTTCTACTTTTAGAACGTTTGACTTTTCTTTTTCGAGGATCGCTTTCAGTTGCACAATAGAGTCGAAAACTGAAGGTCCCGCAGAAGAAGAAGGAGAAGGAAATCTTTAAGTGGAGCAAAGGATCTGCAGCATTTATCTCTGTTCTGCAACGAAAAATGATTTCAGAAAAATTTGAGTTTGGCAGTGTCAAAGTAGAAGCTTGACGCTTTAAAACGAGCTAGGTTCGACCTTCCTACGATTTCTTTTCACGAAGCTGCTGCTGTTCAAAGTTCGACAATATTTCGGTGAAGGAATATCGCGCTATTCTAATTTTGCACGCGAATGGACGATCGATTTAATCAACGTTTCGTAATTAATGTCGTTTAATGTAAATTCAGTAGCACATGGCGATCAGTGTCTGTAAATAAACCGCGGATTTTTACGTCGTAATATATCACGGCATAAATTTGGATGATAATTCTAGTGTCGATTAACATCGTTTAGTGAGAGATTGCAGCGGTCAATTATCGTCTAACAGTTTGACAGGTGATCAGGGGGGAACGACGAGTCTACGTTACAACACAGTTTGTGAAATATTATGATATATTTGCTGGATAGTTACGTGTCTGTTCGATGATGAAGAAAGTACAGTAGAACCTCGATTATCCGAACCCCTGACATCTGAATTCGTCATTATCTAAACACATGTAATTATCTCATGTAAATAGCTCAAGCCAACATATGTATACACGTCACAGTATGCCAGTATTACTATTATTAACTCCTTGTGCAGAAATAGAGGCGATGAAGCCGGTGCTTAGGTTGGCCTCGGTGCAATTTATTAATAATTATAGGAGCAACGAACGCTGTAACAGTTATCGAACGTGATTGCTATAAACAGAGTCTCGACGTAATAGTTGACAGAGTTTCGTTGCTCGCACGATCAAGATTGGCAAAATAAATTTTCATGGAGTTTCAGTTAACCAGGAGTGCATTGATCAGTAGGCTGAATTGTTGCTGCGCGTGAAAAGTAGAAATTTCGTAGGTTTCTGAGTTCCAAAGCCTGCCCGCGTGTTTTAAAATAAAAATTATCCGAGCTATTTGTAAGAAGCAGAAGTGAAATTAAAATATATTTCCGCATTCAACCATATCAATAAGTTGAAAATAGCGTAACAATATGTTCAAATTCTCCTAACTTGCTTACAGTTTTGTATTTCACCTTTTCACATTTTTGTCGCGAATGGACAAAAGTCCGCGGCAATATAAAATATCGAAATTAAAGTCCCGCGCTCTCGAATGTTCCGGAACGAAGCAACCGTTTATTGCAAAAATCGATAAAGCTTTGGATCCAGCACCGTATGAAAATAAATATTCGATTATGCGTAGGATTATATGCTCACGTGACAAAGGTTACGCTGCGTTAAAACGACGAAGTCGATGATTGCAGTGTACCTCGGCGAGCATAGCGCCTTAAGCGTCGGTTTACACCATAAATGAAACGTTTCGCTGGGCGATGGTATGGGCGGTTCGTCGATTCCGTGTAATCTTCGAGAGAGTGTTCGATAAACGCCACGGAAAATCCCATTAAGCTTGGCCCCGTAAGTTACACAATGAACTCTCCTCCAGGGGAACGGGGCGAGCTAATATATTGACATACGCGGTGTCGTTTCCCCCCCTTTTTTCCACCTCGTTCGTACTTCCATTTTCTTCTTGTTTTTCTGTGTTCCTTCTTTTTTTTTTGTTTAAAATACGACGAACTCCGGCCGGGATGAAGAAACTTTCGCGGGAATAAGCTTGTCGGGGAAGTAATTAACTAATGTTCGTGGAGGCGGCGGGCACCCGCGAAAAAGAGCTGGAAAAGTTTGAAAATCAATTTCACCGGCAAGTTTGAATCACTTCCGATGAAAGTTTAAGGAAATCCACTTTCGGCCGGGCCCTCGACCGCTCTGTGTCTCTTCGTTTCGGCAAAATCGACGAATTTTCGCCCTTTGACATTCCGGAGGAAATACTGTGTCGGAAGCGAGCTGCAACTTCGAATCGAGTCGGCGTCTCGGCTCGAGAAAAATTCTGAACGGTGTTCAATCATGCATTAATAAGTTCGCAAAGTTTAACATTGCTAGCTCTAATGGATTTTTTAAAAACAATGTCTGAAAGTCAACGGAACATTATTTTAGATTCATTCTTTTGCAAAACTGCAGCAGCAGTGTTCAGAAAAAGGAGCTGTATCTTTAAAATGAAGGAACGTTTTGTTCTGGTAAAATTCTTAAGTATTGTTTAAATGTGTGTTAAAAGGTCCACAGAGTTTAATATCGCCATCTTTAATGGATTTTTTAAAAACAATGTCTGGAAGTCAACGGAACATTATTTTAGATTCATTATTTTGCAAAACTGCAGCAGCAGTGTTCAGAAAAAGAAGCTGTATCTTTAAAATAAATGAACATTTCGATCTGGCAAAATTCCTGAACATTGCTTAAATATATGTTAAAAGGTCCACAAAGTTTAAAACGGCTACCTCCAATGGATTTTTAAAAAATAATACCTGAAAGTCGCCTGAACATTATTCTAGATTCATTATTTTGCAAAACTGCAGCAGCAGTGTTCAGAAAAAGGAGCTGTATCTTTAAAATAAATGAACATTTCGATCTGGCAAAATTCCTGACCATTGCTTAAATATATGTTAAAAGGTCCACAAAGTTTAAAACTGCTACCTCCAATGGATTTTTTAAAAATAATACTTGAAAGTCGCCTGAACATTATTTTAGATTCATTCTTTTGCAAAACTCCAGGAGCAAGCTTCCAAAAAAGAAACTGTATCATTAAAGAGAATGAACATTCAGGTCTGACAAAATTCCTCAACATTGCTTAAATATGCGTTAATAAATCCACAAAGTTTAAAATTGCTGCGTCTGCTGGGTGCTCCAACAAAAATTGCCAAAAATCGCCAGCACTTCCACTACAACACCGTCCACTGCCTCGCTTCTTAAATGATCTGTACCTTGAAATCAAATGAACAATCACTCATAAAAAAAATCGTGAACATTCTTCAAACGTGCACCAATAACTTCACAAAGTTTAAAATTGCCGCATTCAATACGTGTGCTCGCAAATACTCCCGAAACTGGGCTATATATATACATCACTGTCTCTCTAACGACGCTCTCAGGATCCATCGCAATTTTATCACTGGCTACAGTATTAATCTCGACGAAAGGAGATACCTTATAGTAAGAGGTTGTTCCAGCTACGCTCCCGTGCCCAGAACAATCTCCCATATTTCCAATTTCCTTACCGGGAGCGGGCGTTTCGCCGGCGAGGGCTCGCCGGCCCGCGAAATCAGAGGCAACGCGGATTTTTCGGTGGAATAGGGAAATGCACATATTTCAATGGCGGCCGGTGTTCGCGTGCGCGGAAAATAGAGATAAAATGCTTGAAAACAGCCCCGCGCGCAGGGCCAGCCAGCCTCGGTATGAATCTATTAATGTTTCCCGGTTCGGTTTATCTGTCGGCGGGCCGGTTGTACACGCGCGAGAGCCATCGTTTTCGCCCATGACAGCCTCCGAATCGGGATTTTTGAAAAAGGACCGCGTCGAAACGTCCCGCCACTCGATACACCATCGACACGAGGACACTTGCCGTGCTCGAGGCTTTTCCAAAAGAATCCTCCGAGCACGCGATTTGTAAATGCCGCCGGGTATCGTTGTTGCGCGACACAATTCATCGAAACCGTTTTCGCTGCGAATCTAGAGGCGAATTTTAGACGTCCGTTGTCCCGCTATTCAGCTTTTTTTGCCGGCTGCCCGAGCTTTTTGATCGAGTGCTAATGGGATTGCGATGGGATTTCTCGCGAGCGATTTCCACGATACTAGGGCAAGTGTATCAATTACTGTGCCCAATTGTACTGTCGTTCGGTATTTTCGACGAATTAAATAGTTTTTGTTAAATAGTTTCAAAATTGTATACGTAATTGTATGTTGTAAGCGGGCTTGCGTATGGCAACTATTTGCCATCTTTTCGCGTGCTGAAAGGTAAAAAATATCAGTTTTCAAGTTTCTTAATTGAATTCCTCCGTCTTGAAAAGTCTCACAAAATTATATGTTATTAAACTGTTACGAAAGGCAAAAAACTGTGAAAATAGAAAAGTGGTCACTTGACAACGTCAATGTAAAATCGGTCATTGAAATACTTTTTGATTATTTTAAAAATCGATTTTGCAATCGACAGGTCTGAACAAATTCTCGAATGTCTATCCGAGGGGATAGAAACCTTACGATTTTTTTTCATTATTCTCTGTTGGATAACATAGGAGAGATTGAGCTAGAAGTCGATTATGTTATTATTTTTTCGTAATTTGGCCGAGTTTCATCAATATAATACTTCGTTTCTTTGTCTCGGAAAGCATCATTCTTGTATTTTCTTTTTTATCATTTTGTCGTCTTCTGAAAAATTACTCACCAGATTTTGTAGACGGAGAAGTTGAAGCTTTAATCCGGTTATAAAAATTACAGATAAAGTGTAATTTAAAAAATTGCATACCTTTAACCTAAAAATGTTTTTTAATTCCTTTTTTTTTAAATTACCAAATGGAATTTAAAACACCGCTGATTTTATGCACGTGTCACGAAAGTGAGTAGACGCGATGCGAAACAACGAACGCGAAAAATAAATTCAACAATGCTGTTAGATTGTTTTAAATTCATTAAAAATTACGGTGCTCGCGTAACCGAAAAACGATAACGAAAATCGTTCGGACGATCGAATGCACGCGGAAATATTTAATACGCGGCCGCGCGTACCGTGAATATTTCATGACAAGTATTTACAGATAAATGCGGGCGCAAAGAAATTTCCTGACCGCGGAACAATAATTACGTTCCCGCGAAATTTTATTTAACCGCCGGACGGGAGCGACAGCGACTACGACGAAACAACGCGTTTTCGATACCTAAATTATTCAAATCCTTGATGCGCGAATTTAATACTGTACAAATACGTTCTGGGAATTTCAATATTTTATCAATCCATCGGATCGTTTAACGTGTAGATGCAATTGTTATTCCCTTGCTGGTGTTTATGTAAATCCGTAATTTTACAGCGTAGAATGTTCAGCGAATTTCCGTAGCAAGTATTCCGTAACAATTTGAAATTTTTCATATTTTTTTTCTAGTATTGAAATTATACGGTATTACGATTTAAAGAATTATTTATTCATGCCGGCTGTTTCGTCTGCTGCAAACTAATTACATCGTTTTATTTCTCTTATGAGAATACTAAGAAAAATATGTTTACGAATGATTATACTTATAGCGTAGAATGTTCAGCGAATTTCCGTAGCAAGTATTCCGTAACAATTTGAAATTTCTCATATTTTTTTCTAGTATTGAAATTATACGGTATTACGATTTAAAGAATTATTTATTATTGCCGGCTGTTTCGCCTGCTGCAAACTAATTAGATCATTTTATTTCTCTTATTAGAATATTAAGATTATACTTAAGATTATACTAATACCAATGATTATACTTGGACAGCGGAACTTTATGCAAAATAACAATTTGTTGCATCTGTTGGAAGTGTTAAAAGCCACATAGAAATCTGTATTTAATCATTTCAATATATATTATAGTATTCAGTATATAATATATATCAATACTACAATACCTTTACACTTTTGTAAAATTTTCTTTTAAGTAAATGCAT